GGATGCTCCGTCGGAAGGACCTTTGTATATAGAAATAACGCGTTCTTCGTGAAAAACAAAAAAGCTCACAGCATGGTATTCGCCGGTGAAGTAAAAAAAAATACATGAAGATAATATATATATAGACGGTAATTTATTTATAGTCCTAAATAAACTTCCAGTATTTTCGTAAGATTTAAAGCTTCGATTTATTTACAATTTTAAAATTTTTTTTTTGTTATTCAAAAAGCATGGACAAGTTGATTTTTAATGAACATATCGTTTCACGTGGATCTTTCATATCGCCTTTTCTACAGATGAATGAGTGGCGCTGTTGGAACTATGAACACCATCATTAGTCCTACCATCGGGTATTGTTGTAGGATTGCTGTTCAGTTAAGCAAGTGACCAGCTCCCTCCATATGTCTCGATTGCGTGACAATATCTGATTATCTGTGAAGGAACTGTGAAAGTGCCTAAGAGTATATTTCGATCATTTGTGAATATCTATACTGAAGATACAACGTTATAGGAGGGCATCTCCAAAACTCTAGATTACCAGAGTTTGGCATCTGTTCTCTCCTCTGATCTTGCCCAGTTGGGGGAAAACTTGCTGCTCACATTCAATGCCTCGAAAACCAAATTAATGAAATTCCATCGTCGCCAATCGGAATAAGAACTTTCACGAACTGTGATAAACGGATGATCCCTCGGAGAGGGCTTTTGTATAAAGAAATAACTCAAATTCTTCGTGAAAAACAAACAAAAAAAAAAAAAAAAAAAAAACGAATAAACTCACAGCACAGTATTACATGAAGATAATATATATGTAGACGGTAATTTATTTATAGTCATAAACAAATCTTCTCTAAGCCCTTATAAAGAGACCTACACTTCTCTAAGCCCTTATAAAGAGACCTCAGCCCTTCAGAAACCTACCCTTCCTAAGAGGTAGCTCTCTGAAGTTGTTAGTGGCTAGTCTTCCGAGGCCCAAGTGATCAACATAGGCGTCTCTCTACTGCACTGTTCTCGGTTCAACCCTATTTACATAAATTATCTACCTAAGAGTATATTTCGATCATTTGATGACCAGAGCTTGACAGATGATCTCTCATCAAACCTCACTCAGTGGGGGAAAAAACTACCTGGTCACATTAAATATCACGAAAACAAAAAAAGGTACATTACATCATCCTTAGCCCGGCCCAGAATATTCACCAATCGCGATGAACGGGTGTTACCTCAAGAAGTCCCTGTGTTTTGACGGACATCTGAGATTTAAACTCATCACAGACCTCAAATGGAATTTGATCAATACGAAAGATGTTGAAAAATTGGAGGGTTCCTTTTACCATTCCAATAAATACATAACCCCCTTCTGTTCTCTTCTCGCATTACAAGAGCCAAATCAGGTCTAACATTGGGTACTTCGTCATATATGAAACGGAGATGTCCAGTCTTCAGTTTCCAGTCCCGAACAGCCCGGAAGCGTTTCCGAGTCCTTGTGAGTGACGAATTATTTCTCACCCTACAACCATTTTCTCATAGACGGAACATCGCAAGCCTCTCGCTGTTCTATCACTATTTCCATGGAAAGTGTTTAGACGAACAACATTTCTTAGTTCCAACAGATTGCACTTCAACACTCACATTACAGTGAAACACCTTCGATTTGTATACAATTGGTGAGATATAAGTTCCACGCCGCTAGCAACTTCTAACTAACCGTTGCTTTGTGGAACCGACTCTCAAGAGGATGCTTCCTGGATATATACAACCTTAACCACTCAACAACTATCTCGGCAACAGAACCTCTGATCAGGTGATGAGAGGCTTTGTGTAGCGTGGAAGCGTCTCCGAGTCCTTGTGTGTGAAGAAATATTTCCCACCCATCAAATCTATTCTCACAGACGAAACATAGCAAAACTCTTCCTGTTCTATCGCTATTTCCGTAGAAAGTGTATAGACGAACTACATTCATTAGTCTTTCCAGTTCTAATATTCACGGCTAGGACCAACCATGCTACACACACTGTAGCGAATCGCTCTCCTTCTCTTGGTATTTCACTGGTGAGATGTAAGTTCCACTCGAGCAGCACCTTCCCACGAATGGCTGCTTTGTAGAACCGACATCCAAGAGGATTCATCTTCGATCATTACAATCTTAACATGTTAAAGTCTTGTGTCAACCGTTATTTCCCCGCATCTCCCATAAACTTTACCTCTATTTCTGTAATCGTCAAACTCAAGTGACACTTGGGTCTAGTACAGGGTGAAAATAATTGTAAAATTATTCTAAGTATAGCATAAAAGAGAGAAAGCAACTGTACACATTTTATTTTTATGCCTTACATATGTACCTAAAGAGTATATGTTGTATAAAATGTGCCATATTTATGGAGGAAGAGTGTTTAAGGCATTGTGTTGACATCCAGTGTGGACTTAAGAATCAACACAGCATGGTGACAGTTTGTTTTGTGCCTCCAGCAAGCATCAGATCATGTACACATGTGTGTGTTAGAGCATATATAAGGGTATATGTATATAAATTAATATATGCCAGAGGACAAGCGACCCTTCCAAATTATCTAGGGGGTGGCCAAGAAGATAATCGGTTGTTCGCTGACATCCTTGGAGGACATTTCTAATTCTCATTGTCAAAGAAGGGCATAAAACAGAATGAGAAAAAGCTTTCATCCCGATTATCGCTTGTTTGAACTGTTACCTG